GCTAAAAAAAAAAAAAAAAAAAGAGATTACATTTAAAACTACTTTAAAATATATAGCCCTATATTTTTTAAATGCCGTTGTTAGTGGTGGATTCGCTGCAGTGTAATGTTGCTGGGAAGCTTGCAGAAAATGTACACTTTTTATAATAATCTCAGTAACATTTAATGCTTTTTATACAGGCTGCTGGCGTTATAGATGGAGGTCATTTATATCCCACGGCGTGCCCACCTACGGCAGGTGATCCTGATGTCGTAACGTGTCAGCGGTGGCCTGACATAAGTATAATAATAGTTAATAGAGCGTGATAGACAGAGCGGTATTAAACCTAACAAAGATGTGTCAAAAGCAAAAGTCTATGTCTTCATTAGCTTGATCTCCAAGGACCGTCAAACATTTCATTAGTTTGTAATTTATGAATGTTTGACAAATATTAAAGAGTATGTAAATACGACAGGGATAATGTCTTTCCTGCGGGAGATGGCGAAATGACCCAAAGTCTTCGATACTGCTAGACTGATCACATGCATTATGTTTCTTCTCAAACTGTGCATTTGCTTGTCTATTTGGAACATATTTCCCATCTGACGTGTGAAATAGTGCAGATAAACCAATGATTCATAATGCTGGTAGCATTTGCATTTCCTAATACTCTGTGTTATTTTGATATATGATGATATACTGTCTCTTTCATCGAGTGGAAAAACGCACTTTTGCCATTATGGCTTTGGCTAAATCAGTAGGAGGGTTTTTGTCCTAAAACGGTCCATTTCCTTGTTTGTGAACCACTTCCAGTGCAGAGCAGTAAAATCGTTATTTTATTTTTATTTCAACAGCACTGTCTACCTCAACTTTTTTAAGTTGGAATCGTTTTGTGTATTGGGGATATGTCCTGAAAACTTGGGGGCAGAAGGCCCATGGAGCCTTGGATTTTGTGTTATTTTCTACAGATCCTAACGCACCTGTGCGCAATGACTGCTGCCAGACATTAGTGTCACTAAACATTAATCTGAGATCACACAGAGGTGAGCTTAAAATGATAAATTCAGATTCTGGTAAATTACTCTGCGTCAGCTTGACTTATTCGCCAAAGGCCAAATCCTCAGGTTCAGAATAATTGATGGCCCATTTTTATGGATCACAAGTCTGAGAACACGTAGTCAAATACAAGAAAGTATAAAGCTGAACTCTTAATATTTTCATTTATATTGTTTTGAAATTGTTAGTTTATTGTTAGATTTAAAAAAAAATTAGTCGGTTGTACGCCTGCATAAATGAGAGTGCACCATCACATTAATTTACTATATATATATATATGCACACACACACGATCCCCATATTTTTCTCCCTCTTCAAACGCACACGCGCGTCTGCACAGTGCCTGAATAGACTACAACAATATTTAGATGTTTGCCCAAGTTACAGCAACAAGTTCCTGTGCATTTGAAATTAGTTGCATTATTAAAAGAAGCCATCATAGCTCTCGCTAACTAGGTTCAGACTGCGAGATCAATTAAGAGAAGGAGATCCGAGATCAAAAGCGGGTCGCTGATTCATTCATGCAGCTGCATTGAGACCAAGGCCAACAGGCGTATCATACACTGAAAGGAAGCTGCTATTCAGAGTGCAGGTGTGAAGTATGTGGCACATTCTGCCATATAATGTGGAGGTTGTTTGACATCTGTGTTCGGGCCTATAGGCTGCTGGGAGGCTGATTCGCATTGGAGGGAGCCCGCTCCTCTATGAAAGTAAAACGACTTGGTTTCCTAAAACCTGTGGATGACGGTAATCCTAAAATCTGAGGGGCAGGGTGGAGGTGCAGAGATGGAGGAGAGGAGCGGTCTTTAAGGTCTTACTGGCACTTTTTGTAAGATGGTGAAGTTTGCCGGCGACATAAAATCTACCGCAGGGGCACAGCTTTAAATCTGCCTTAACTCTGCTTGCTGACATATACTAGGCCTGTGCAGAATTCACTAAATCTAAATCTAAAGGTTGACATTGATCTTTACGACGGAAGCTTGTGGTTGTCTGTAGCCTGCACCATAGTACATGGTCTTGTAAATCCCCTCGGAAACTAACCATGGATGTTACCAGAATAAACTATTTGGTATTCATGGCGAGCTTTATGGTTGCGGTTAACCTGTGAGTGTGCATGTTGCCTTCTGAGCTCACTTGTGCGCACTCAAAGTATCAAGTAGTCTAATTCTCCTTTATGAAGTAAAGAAAAAATCTATAATATTTAAATATAAAATTGTCAAGCTCTGAGATTTCTTTAACTTTGTGGCTATTCACGTATCTAAAGATGCATTTGTTAATGTATTTACCATAATATGTCCATGCATCTATTCTTTGCCACCAGTTTCCTGGGTGGTGTCAGCTCTATTAAAACAGCTCTGCCCTGCTCTTCCGGCCTGTTTCTGGTGGCTCTGTTGCACCTGTCTTGTCTGTCTTTCTCTTTTTTTCCATGCCAATTTCGGCCACTTCATGGCTTTTACTCCCAGACTGCTAATCCCCCTATTAAAAGGGCTTTGTTCAATAATGCCGGACAGTTTCCGGAAGTAGGATTACTGCCTCCATTATTTTACAAAGAAATTATATTTTGCACTCAAATGAGCCTTCGGATGCAGCGGTAGTGGTGAGAGGGTCTTGCAAGAAAAGAAGTGGATTCATTTTCTTTTCGTTGCGCTTTCAAAGTTCTAAAGCTCCTTTCTTTTTTAGCATATTTTATAATTAATGTGAGAAGACCGAGTATTTCCTGTGGAATTGCACAGCCGCCATCGGTTTCCTGTTTTGCTTGTTGGAGTGAACTGGCGGTCTTGCAGTGCAGGCTGTCTCCTCCTTCTCTTTCTCTCTTTTACATGCACCCCCCGCCCTGCATGCACGCGCGTACGCACACAACCACAAAACGCACGTACACACCTGTTCTTGATTCTTGACCCCATAACAGATCAGAGGTTGTCACTCAGCTGAAGGTGGGAAGCCCCGATGAGTGAACCCAACGGGATCGGTTGTTAAATATCCTCTCTTACAGCTCCAACCGACTTTGGTAGTGTCCGCACCCCGGGAATTTAACTTTTGCAATAAAAGCAAACAGTCGCCATAATTTATCTCTGATGTGGTGCAAGCACGCCTGTTCATCCAGCACTTTATGCAAAGTCACTGGTTCCAAAGTACTTTTCGACCAAACCTTCCAAACCCCCAGTCCTCCTACACCCGCTCACTTTCTGGCTGAAGATGTTTATATTCGGTCAAAGTCATAAATTATTACGCGTAAAGGTCACCTAACCGCTGCACAGCAGACGTGGATAGTTCTGCACTTTTCTTTTTGTATTTCTCAAATTAATCCAGGGCCATTTTTCTTGTATTTCTTCCTGCAAGACCAAATTCATACATCCTGAAAAACACACACACACACACACACACATAGCCTTTGCCATATCTAATTGACACATGGACCTTATGTTTTTACTCTTTCTCGCCTCTTTTTCTAATAAAACATGCCTTTAAATGTTGCATATCCTTCACTTTCAGCGCTGAATGGAAAATGTTTTTACGCGACTCAGTTAGTTCTTGTCCATTTGACGACTGGAACTAAAAGCTTTAGACGACCCAATAGAGAGGAGCCCAACAAATCGGAGACAAAAAGCTTTCCGTGTCATCAACGTTGTTCAGACGACCTAAAAGAATCCCTCTGATATTAATTTCCACTTCAAAGACTCCTGCTTTGAATTGAGATCCAGCTACCTTGTTTTTTTTTTGTGTTTTGTCTTTCTTCCTTTCTTTTCCCTATACGCACAAGAGCTGGTGCCACAAGAGGAAACTTCTTCTTCTATTTGGATGCTTTAGTGTTTATTCTTGGCTTTCACTCTGGTCTCTAACTGTCATGCACTTAACCTCGCTCGTGGTTCTGTCGTTCTTCCTTAGTTAAGCCCAGTGTAAAAGTTACTCCTGACCCAGTACAGCAGTGCGCTTCAGAATTTTTTTTGGTTAGCTGCATCTATCTTTTCCTCTTCAAACAAATTTTATAGATTTTATTTTTGTTTTATAGTACTGACAAAGTTTCCTGCAAATGCTCTTCCAAGCTGAAATAATTCATTTCGACCTCTACTATTGAAATGCGCACTTATCATTATGGGCAGAGTGTAAAATATGATTAGTGTTAAACGTATCCATTGGGAAGTTTGGCCCTCTTGCAGTGTAAGTCTATTATGGTGTGGGACAACTGCGTTTTCTCGGCTTCTCCTTTGATTGTCGTAAAGTAGGCCTGCAGCAAAAGAATATATTTTTCCTTCTTTATTCCGCCCTAGTCTGCAGTATAAAGGACATAGATGACCGTTTCCTACCCCATGGGAAGCAAATATTACATTCTTTAGAGCGGGCTTTTGGGTCCACCGACTTGGCCCCATATCATTTGAGTTTGACTTGGCTATCGCTATAGAAATCTTAATTCACCATGAGGATTCACCGTCGTGAAAAAAATGGCTCTTTGTACGAAACTTTCTTTGAAGTCTGGATCAGAATATTGTAGCCTTTCATCAAGCTCTGCCCACGTCTGCGTCAAACCGCAGCTCAGCTGAGAAAGTAAGACATAACCCAAGAGGAGCGCAGTTGCAAGTCCACCATTTTACCGGGAAGCACTGTGGAAGATGGAGCATTGAAACCTTTTCGTTACATTTTATTTCTTTGTATTGTAGCAGCTCTAACCTGAATCTGAAAAGCAGACGTGGACATGTTTTTACTGAAGCTTGCAAGTGTGTGA